CAATAACATTCACAAAGGATCTAGTACAATGACTAGCAGTGTTATCGCTCTCATGCTTAACAACCATCCATGGCTCCTCAGTGCCTATGGTTTTGCCTGACATTCAAGGCCAGATGGGTCATCTCCTTGCATTCACTTTCTCTCTCTAGCATCTATGCCTTTACTCACCACTTCCACCCACTTAGACTGCCCTTGCTCTACTATATATACTCCATCTATATCTATCTATCTATATAATTCAGAGCCCAGCAGAAATTCATCTTCCCTAAACAATATTTTTGAATATCTATTTAAGTAGAGGGCACTATGCTAGACCCTTGTTGAATTGCAAAGCATAGTGAAATATGGTCCTGGATGCCAGATAGTGGGTGGGGGCAGAAGGTATACCCAAATAAAAAGAGGAAGAATAGGAGGTCCCCTGCTGAAGGTCAAGCCCATGGGGCAGCTGGGAAGTCCTGCAGAGATCTTAAGATGACAGAACACTCCACTTCATGCAGTGGTTAGTGATCTTTCAGTATTCTTCCCTAGGCTAGAAATTACAAACGGATTCTAAGGTCCAGCCAAACTGACGTTTTTCCGGGAAGGACAGCTGGAATTGGGAACTGCCCAGCCTCAGTCCACACTGCCAGGCAACCTGGCCAGGCCGGTCAGTCCTCGGCTGGCAACAAAGGCTTCGTTGGCTGGAAGAGGAGAGAGCTACGAAGTGTCCTGCGCTCCAGCCCAGGAATCCCTGGCCACATCCAGGGCCTGTCCTTGAAAAGCTGGGAGAAGAGACCCCAGTAGCCCCACGGCCTTTGCCACATCAGCAGGAAAAAAGGAACATGGGAGGCAAAAGTCACCCAAGCCAGTGGCCCAGAGCCTGGCTTCCTCCAACCAGTGGTGGAGGGCGGAGCCGGAGGCAGAGGGTGGGACCGGAAGCAGGGGCGGGGTCGGATGGTGGGTGGGGCCGGCAGGGGGCAGGGCGGTGACGGGCCCTGCTTCCCCAGTCCCGCCTCTCAGTCCCGGAAGGAGCGGATCTTGAGCTCCGCGATGCGGGTCTTGGAACTGAGTACCTGCCGTCTCCTGCGATTGGGGGTTGAGTCTCTGCAGACGCCTTGGAGGGCAGAAGCAGCCTGAATCTAGGGGTGGGGGAAGGCCTAGCACCCCCTGCATCTCTGCCGTCAACCCTCATTTGCCCTAGTGCCCGCTCCACCTGGAAGCCAGAGGGCTTTTCTCAATACCCATTAAAGCTGTTTCCTTTGTTCTGCGGGCAGAGGACCCTCCCCCCACAATCTGATACCTCTTCCGCCCCCGCCTCTCCTCACCTTCATCTTCTTCGAGACTGAACCACCCCCAGGTAGCTCTGTAGGGCCTTTGTACAAACTAGTCCCTAAGTGTGGAACATCATTTCCACCCTTCTTCATCTAACTAATTACAACTTATTTTTCAAGCTTGGGTATCTACTTGGGAAAGCCCTCCTTGACCCCCTCCCATCCTGCTATGGGCCCCTCGGCTTGGCCGCCCTAAGCCTAGTCATCTTACATCGCAATTGCTAGACTACCTGTCTATCCTTTGCCTTCTCCCCTTCTCCTTCTCTTGTCTCTGCAGCATCTCTAGTGCCTGGCCCAGGTATGGTGAGATAATAAACACCCTGCCTGGCAGTCCTTTGCCATCCTCTAGACCTCTGCCTGGTGACAAACCCCTACAGTCACTTCACTTCTTAGGGCAGAAGGTCTCAAACTAGAGTGCATCAGAAACACTGGCGGGTGGGAGGAGGGTGTCTTATTAAAATACAGATGGTTGGGCCCCACCCTCAGAGTTTCTGATTCATAGGTGTGGAATAGGGCCTGAGAGTTTGCATTTCTAAAAAGTTCCCAGGTGCTGCTGATGCTGACACAGGAACCCCATTTTAAGAATCACTGTGTTGGGGCATCAGTTTCTTCGTCAATAAAATAGGATAACTTCTGTCCCTGCCATGTGAGGTTTTGTGAGAATCAAATGAGATTATGCAGATGAAGAACGAAGCATGGTGCCTACACCGAGTAGGTGCTCAATAAGTGCAAATGCTACTGGGAGTGGGAGGAACACATGCCAACAGAGAAAACATGAGCAGTAGAGGTAGGTCAGGGCCCAAGCAGGTCAGCTGGGCTGGCAGAAGAGCAAGGCCCAGCACGGTAGCCAGGGAGCAGGTTGTACTATGGAGGCAGATGGGAGCCATGCACGGTTCTGGAGCAGGGCAGTGACAGGAGGAAGCTAAATGTGGCAAAATTGAGCAGGAGGCACAGCAGCAAATTCCCTGTGCTGGGTTTTCCTCGCCTGTTTGGCCAGGCATAGAGCTGCCAGATTTAGCAAATAAAAATTAAGGATATCCAGTTAAATTTGAAGTTCAGATAAATGATTTTTTTTTTAGTATAAATATGTCCCAAATTGCATGGGACATACTTACACTAAAAAACCTTTTGTTAATTTATCTGAACTTCGAATTTAACTGGGTGTCCTTTATTTTTATTTGCTAAATCTGATAATCCACGCCAGATATCAACTGCCTGCCCCAACCCCACGCCTCCATACTGGAGGGAACCAGCCCAGGTTCCTCTGGCTCACTTCCCCCCTTTCAATGAGGCCACCAGGAGTGACTAAGGAGCTGCTCCTGGGCCCAGTCTTGCTGCCAGTACAAGTGGTCACAGCTGCAGGCCTGGGTGAGCAGGTCCTCCCACTTCATGCCAGGTTCGCCCAGCAAAGAAATAGTGAAGCACACAGTAAATAATCACTGGGTCTGTAATTTAATGAAGCACATAAGGTTACCAAGTCCCATAAAGAAGGAGATGCCACGTGCATTTGTGGGTTACTCAAGAAACAAAGTTGTCGATGGTATAGGCGCACCTGGTGAGTGTACCCAGACAGGAGAAAATATCCTCTATCCTTAACCCCAGAAATGATCAACACAAGCGCTCAGACTGCTTGCATGCTCACAGGACGCCATGGGAATGGTTATATAAACTGAACAAGCTAGAACAGGGGGGTCCCTACCTCCTTCAGCTCAGTTGGGCATTGGGATAAATCATGGTACCAGAGGCTGCCTCTCTCTCCCCCAGCCCCATAATCACCAAATCCCAGATGATTCATAATTCCGGAAACAAGCCTGTCGGAAATCCAATTTCTGCAACAACCTTTATATCAACTTTTTTTCCTCTAATGAGGAACAATGAAAACAATATGTGCTCCATTTTTTAAAAAAAAAAGTGATAAACATTACTGAATTCCTAGTGTGTGCCCTGTGCTGTGTTCAGCTTATTTAGCTCAGTAGTTCTCAGCCTTGGGTGCACATTGCAAACACCTGCAGATTTTCCAGGTGATCCTAGTACCCCAGGTATCAGTATTTTCCCTGGGGCATGGTGATTTCAACACACAGCCAAGGCTGAGAACCATTGATGTAGTTCATCCTGCTTAATCCTCACAATATGATCTTGCAAGGTAGGTGTTACCTCTGTTTTGCAGATGAGGAAATTGAGTTTCAAAGAGGTACAGTGACTGCAGCTTGTGTAGCCATAATCTTGGACCTCTGTTTTCCTCCCAGGCTCCCTTGAGGGATTCCTATGTTTCCACGGTTAAATATCATGGGTATATATATAATGCTTCCACAGATACGTTCGCAGCCTTGCTGCCCTCCGGCCACCTTGAGATAGCTCTGCTCCCAGCAGGGCTCTTCTGAGACACCAGCCAGACTCGGCCTAGGTTTAGGATTGACACTAAATGACTTTTGCTATAGTGAGGACCACTGAGGCGGGTCACTCCACCCAGGTCCTGGCATCTAGGGTCATAGAAAGACGGCGGCCACCACCCATTCCCCACCACCCAGGACCCTCTAAGCCTGGGTCTTTACAGTTGTGTCCCACCACCCCCGCCAAGCTTTTCCTCGGTGCCCTCCTCCTTCACAGTAAACCCCCTCACCTCCTGATTCTTCTCAGCTCATCTTCTTTGCAGGAGCCGTACATCCACACAGGTTGTGAGAGAGGTCTCTGATCCAGGACAGGCCGCGAGCCACAGATCCGAAGGGAAAAGCCTTGCGCTAGCCCGACTCCTCGCCCGGGGCTCGCGGGCCCACCGATTCTTCAGACGTGGACGCACCTTGGCTCACCTGTCCCCTCCCGCGGCGCCTGCCGGCCGGGAGGACAGTCAGCTGGGCCAAAAGGCTGGTCACCGCCTGCCCTCTGCTGGCCGGTGGCAGTATTGAGCCCGCTGCCGCTCCACCGGAGCGTCAGAGGGATGGAATGAAGGAACGGGCATTTATCGAGCTCCTGCTGTATGTCAGGCACTGAACTGGGAGCTGGGGGTGTAAGGATGAACGCGACCTGCTTTCACAAAGTTCAGCTTCAAATGAGGAGACAGACAATAATCAAATAGTCATTCAAGCAAATATGAAATTACAACTGTGGGCTATATGAGCATATAACGCGAGGCTCCTGTTCAGTCTACGGGGTGTAATGGGGGGCGAGGGGAACGGTCAGGGAAAGCTGCCCCTGAGGAGGGGACGTGTGAGCGCCAGGTGCCCCACAAAGTCATTCCATGTAATCCTGAAAATCCTACAAGGTGGCTATCCCCTTTGCCAAAGCAGGAAACAGGCTCAGGTTGGGGAAAACCTACCGAAGGTCACACAGCGAGCTGGAAGCAAAGCCAGGAGGGCCTAAATCGGCCCAATTCGAAAATCCCCACTTCTCCGCTGCTCCTGGCTGTGGTGTAGGTGGCAGGCCACCCGGACGTCCCATCTAGCCGCTCTAGGGCGCGGGGCGGGGCCGGGGTGGAGCCTGCGCGGGGCGGGGCCTCAACTCCGGCCCCGCCCAGCCTCTATAGGTGAAAGGGCGCCCTTGGGCGTGGGGACTGGGCAGAGGCGGGGTCTTTTTGGGGGGTGGAGCCTGGGCGGATTGGGGCCTGCAGACTCCCGCCAGGCTCAAGGGGCGGAGCCGGGATCTCACCCGGTCCTAGAGGAGACGGAAGCTCCAACTGAGTGTGGGGCGGAGGACACTTACCGCTGACCCCGTGCACTCAGGCGGCGGCTCCGGATCCCGGAGGTCCAGTGGGCAGCTCCCCAGGTAGGGCCTAACCCCGGCCTGAGAAGAGGTACCCCTTCCCCAGCCCTGCCCTGCCTATCTGTCCTGCCATCTGACCCACGTTTCTTCCTGTCCGCGGGCCTGGGTCCATTTCTGGACATCAGAAGGTAGCTCATGAGTGGAGGGGCCGGTCTCACTTCGTCCCCCTCCCTGGCCCAGCCGCTGCGGGACCCCAGACATCCAGAATATGGGATCAGGAGATAAGATGACAAAACCTCTCGGGGGTGGCTGGCCCAGCTTCACCCCAGGCCTTTGGGAGGTCACCCACCCTCTCTGGTACTGAGTGTCCTGTGTTGCAAAACAGGGTCTGACCCTTGCTCACCCTGCGGAGATGGGGTGAGACCCAGTAGCTGTGACGGGTGCTGGGGAGCCAGGGGTGGAGCTTTCTCCCTTCCAGGGCTATAGGAATGCTTATCCTCCTGCTGCTTCTGGTCCTGCTGTACCTTCACCCTTCCCCAGATCTGCGAGCCCAGAAAGGCGGAACCTCAGACCCTGGGGTAGAGCTGTGTGCTGGCCTGGGAGGCCTGTGGGTGTTCCAAAGTGGGCCCTGAGGCTTGGGCACCCTGTGAGGCCTGCCTGGAGTCTACCTGCTCACTTTGCAAAAAGCGGGCCACCATGGTGTAAGAGGGCCTGGAATGATATGGAAAGAAGTCTAACCTCTCAACGGTGGACAGGGACAGTGCATTGCAGTCTGACCTGTAGTGCCCTCAGGACCAGCCTGGGTGACTGAGGCTGTCATGATGCCCAAAAAGATGCTGCTGTTGATAGGTGACACCTATGGGCATTTACGGTGTACTAGTGCTTTCCGTGAGTTATCTCATTAATTACTCACACATCCCCTATCCCCATTTCAGAGGCTGAAACCGAAGCTTAGAGAGATGAATTGACTTGCCCAAAGTGTCAGGGAGGGAATTAGAACCCAGATAGTCTAGGGGCGCCTGAGTGGCTCAGTGGTCCTGGGATCGAGTCCTGCATTGGGCTCCCTGCTCCGCCGGAGGCCTGCTTCTCCCTCTCCCACTCCCCCTGCTTGTGTTCCCTCTCTTGCTGTCTCTCTCTGTCAAATAAATAAATAAAATCTTAAAAAAAAAAAAAAAAGAACCCAGATAGTCTAGTATCTTACAGTGTCCTGTTGCCACCCAGGATCTGGGCATCCGGTAGTAACGCCTTGACCTAGGACAGCAGGAGGAGAAGGAAATGGGGGGATAGGATTCAAAGGGCTCAGGAGGGAGGGATGCCCATGAATCCTGAGAGGAATTCAGCTGATCTGGGTCCCTGGGGGAGAGATGAAGTGTTTGAGTTTAGACATGTTAGTTTGGGGTGAAGGGTGGTATAAGGGAGCCAAGCAGAGGTCTTGGAGAAGACCAAGAAGGCAGAGCTGGGTCCTGGGGGAGAGCAGATGCCTTCAGAGATGGGTGCAGATAGAAGAGGGGATCCCAGAGCTTAGCTCATTGGAGTCCCCCCAAATGCTGAGCAGGCAGATGTGGGGGGCATCCACTCGTAGTGTGGGGGTAACGGGGAGGAATGAATTCTAGGCTGAGGAGGGTTTGAAAAATTGGGGCCTTATTTCATAAAGGGGAAACTGAGGCTAGCACATTACTTGCCTGAGGATGCCCCAAGGCTGGAGCAGAGTAGGACCCCATGCCCCCCAGAGATGGTGCCATCTCTGCCATTCAGCTCTACTACCTCATTGGCTCTCTACGAAGAGCAGTTTTGTTCCCCGGGGGACATCTGACAATGTTTGGAGACAATTTGGTTGTCACACTGGAAGGGGTGTAATACTGGTGTCAGTGGGTAGACACCAGGAATGCTGCTAAACATCCTACAATACCCCCAAAGCAAAGGATTATCTAGCCCCAAACGGCAATGATGCTGAAGTTGAGAAAATCTGTACTAGGTCAAGCTGAGCCGGTCACTACCCAGGCCAGCTCTTTCATCCTCAGCGGGGCAGATAACTCAGGTCTGAGCCTCCACCTGGGCAGACCTTTGCCCCCACTCCCGGTCTGCCCCTCCCATGCTTGCTCCTTTATTCCTCGAAACTTCTGGAGTCTTCTCTGCTTTTCCTGAGCACAGTGATCTAGAGACCTGCCCATCACGTGTCTGACCTTTATTCACAGAATTTGGTGTAGGAAGGAACCAAAGTGGAAATTTTCACCTAGCGCATAGTGGGTGCTTTGCAGATAAACTGTATATTATATTTGAATGCCATTATCAGGGTCCAGAAAGCTTCATTTTATCCCGTTTTCATTTTAGCAATTCCAGTTGTACCTTATGTTTCTGAAGTTCTAGGTTTCTAATGAGCTCCCAGGTGATGCTGACACTGCTGGGCCACATTTTGAGTGGCAAGGCATTGCAGGGTTGTGCAGAGGTGGGCTGGGGCGGCTGCCCTCCCTGCAGACAACTGTCGGGTGGTTTGGGGACTGTGGGGTGGCAGGAACCATGACATGGGGTCAGGAAACCGGGATACGAGTCATCACTCTCCCCACCCTGCCCCATCTATGGCCTATGGATGTCACTTAACTTCTTTGAGGAGTGGTCTTGCATGGCAGTTGGTCCTCCAGGGGTTCTGATGCGGGGTCTGCGAGGTGGGAGTGCCATGCGGAGATGGAATGGCCTGGCTCCTGGCAGCCAGAGGGGCAGCAGGCCATTGGCCCGGCCAGCAGGGAAGGGACCACGAGCTGCTGTTGGTGGGGCGGGCACCGTGCCAGCATGGAAGCAGCTCTCGTTACGGCCCTGGCTCTTCCGCACGGCTGCCACAGCCTTCTGCTTCTGGCTTACCTAGCTCTGCCTGGTGTGGGAAAGCTGGAGAGACCGGTCTGGCTAGGGGAAGGAGGGGCAGCTTTGATGGGGTAGGGGACAGCCTGAGGCCTGAATGTGGGTCTCCGGGCCTGGCCAGCTGAGCCAGGGTCTCAGAAGTGGGGGTCAGGCCTGAGAACTATGGCCTGGAGACACTGGGGTCAGGTGATGGATCTTGGATAGGATTCCCACCTGTTCCAGGGAAACTGGGAAGGAGTTTGATATTTGGGGCCATAAACTGGGAGGTCATTTTACCCCCAGCTATAGGAGATGCTTTCCCTCAAGTATCTGACCCCAGAAACAGAGCTGGGCAGAGCCTTAGGTACCTGAGGTACCCTACCCCTGGTTCTCCACAGATCAGCCACAATGGCGCAGCAAGGCCCCTTCCAACTCCTAAGACTAGGAAGCAGCAAGACAGATGAATCCATTTCTCAGATGGAAGAACTGAGACTCTCTCCTCCCTACTTACTGGGAAGAGATCAGCCTTTAGGGCTGTCACCCATTACCCAGCCAGACCCTGGGCCTAATATATCATGAGGCTGCCGCCCATTGCATCAGGGAGGGGTGCTGACCTGCCCCTGTCCCCGCAGTGGGGCCCACCCAGTGGTTCACACTGAGGGGTCTGCAGCCACACAGGCCTGGGTCTGAGTCCTGGCTCCTCTCCTTACTAGTCGTGGTCCTGGGCAAATCACTGAGCCTCAGCTAGCTTGTCTGTAAACAGCAATAATGACACCCGCTCGGCCAGCCTCACAGGTTGTTGCAAAGATGGAACGAGCCCTGCCACCAAACACCATGGTCATTATCATTACTCACAGCATTTAGAGATGCAGGGCACCCCAGATCACCTCACCCGGTGCTCCCATTTGACAGATGCAGAGATCGGCACTTGGAGAAGGAAGGCAGGTGTCCAGGAGCCCTACAGCAGGTCGGTAGGCGAGCCGGGGCTAGGACCCACACCTGCAGGCACACCGCCCATCCCTCCGATCTGCGAAGGTGCTCTGAGGGCAACACACTGTAAGTCTGGGGAGACCTTTGCCCCCCACTCCTGGTCTGCCGCTCCCATGCTTGGGGTCCTGGGGGTCCTGGAGCCCGGGCTACAGAGCCTCCCCACTGAGGGAGGTGGACCCTGGCTTTGTCCCAGCACCTCCTCCCTTTGCCAGCACCAGCTATGAACTACGTGGGGCAACTGGCAGGGACGGTGTTGGGGACGATGAAGGACATATACCGAGGCCTGAACCCGGCCACGCTGAGTGGTGGCATTGATGTGCTGGTGGTGAAGCAGGTGGATGGCTCCTTCCGATGCTCGCCCTTCCACGTGCGCTTCGGCAAGCTCGGCGTCCTGCGGTCTCGGGAGAAGGTGGTGAGCACTGGCCAGCCAGGGGCCACGGCAGGGTGGGCTCTTAAGGCCAGGGCAGCCCCTGCAGTCCCAGGAGAGGGCCTAGACCCCCCCCCCCTCAGGTGGTGATCTGTGCTCTGGACAAGCGTCTGTTCTTTTGCATTTTCTTTGACAGTTTGGGGTTGGTTTGGGGGTTTGGGTCGCAGAGGGTTCCCATTTTCCTGTGGGAGCCGCACAGTGGGGCTGTCCCTGGTACCTGGGCTGTCCGACCTGGCTCCAGCTTACTAAGACCTCACCTGTACGTTCTTGGTAAGTCTCTCCACCTGGGCAAATGGATGCATACTCTCATCTACCTGGTGCCGGAGGGGTGATTTGGGAGAATGAGATAGGAGCTGATAACACCATCCCAGGGCCAGGTATGTGGGTGGCACTCAAAAGGTCAGCTTCTCTCCCTTCAGAAAGTTGTGCTGTCTTCTCTGGGCCCAGGCGAACGTGACAGCTTTTTTTTAGTGCTGAGGTCTGGAGTATGAAAAGAGGTTTGGTGAGTCCAAATCCTCTTCCTATGGGGCCCCTGGGAATGTGCCAGAATCCTAACAGGAAACTGTCAGCTTGTGGGGGACTGTATAGCGAGGTGGTAAAGAGCTGGGGCAGACTTCGTGGCTCACAGCCACACTTGGTCACCTCCCTGTATGTTACTTAACACCGCTGGGGTCTCAGTTTCCGCATCTATAAGGTAGGGGTAGGGAAAGGAGCTATGGCACAGTGTTGCTGGGAGGTCAAAGGGGAGAGTCCAGATAAAACTCCCCATCAGTGCCTAGAAAGTGGTCCTTCATACCGTTGTTCATGTAGTCAGTAAGCACTCTGGGGGTTGGGGACACAGCAGCGACAAGATGGGTCATGTCTTGTTCTGATGGGGTGTGGCAGAAAGAACAGAAATCAAGGCAGACAAGAATCCTGAGACAGTGGTATGTGCAAGAAAGTCCAGAGAATAGGAAAATGGGGGATGGGGGGGTGGGGAACTCATTGCAGCCTCTCTGCAGAGGGGAATCTGAGCAGAGACCCTTGAGGTGGGGAGCAGCCGGGCACACCAGGGGCTGGGGGGTAGGAGTTCCAGCAAGCGCAGTGCTCCAGAGGGTCAGGGGGGCCAGTAGAACAGAGTGTGGGGGTGAGGGACAATGGTGGGGACTGTGCACCACAATGCCCCTTTACAGGTCGACATCGAGATCAACGGGGAGCCTGTGGACTTGCACATGAAGCTGGGGGACAGCGGGGAGGCCTTCTTCATCCAGGAGTTGGAGAGCGATGATGTAAGTGCCTTGCGGCACCTGCCCCCTCTGGGCCGGACCTTGGGCCCTGTCACTGACCTGCCCCTGGGAACCACCCTAGCAGCAAGTCTGATGGGGGCGGGGGGATCAGCTAGGGCTGGCACTCCCAGCATGCTGTTGGAGCCTGAGCAGAATTGGGATGGGGGCAGCAAGAGCTGATTTCCTTCCTGGGGAAAGCTGGGGAAGGTTTTTCAGAAGAGGACACTGGAGCTGGGCCCCTGGAGGGTGAAAAGGAGGCCTTCCCTGGGTGGCCTGAAAAGGAGGAGGGTGCTGTCGCATGGCTGGGAGGGGGCTGGCGAGCGTGAGATGGATTGTTCTGGATCTGGTGCTGGCTCGGTGCAGTTAGAGCATGGAAGGATGGGGGGAGGGACGAGGAGAGGGGTGTTTCAGAGGGGAGGCAGAGCCCAGCACAAGCCAGCGGGAGGTGTTCCAACAGTCTGAGCTTCACAAACTTTAAATAAGCCCCTACTGTATGCCCGACACTGCAGTGGACTCAGGTGACGGGTCACCCCTGCCTGCAAAGAGGGCTCCCAGACCAGCCTGGGAGCCAGATGTATAAACAACAGATGATGGAACTACATGGTCATGGCAGTGGAGGGGGTTGGAACTGGGGCTGGGGTTAGTCAGGGCAAGCTTCCTGGAGGAGGTGATGTCTGGCTGAGTCTTAAAGGGAAAGCAGGTGTGGGCGGAGGAGGAGATGAGTAGCCAAGGTTCAGGGTTCTACCTGGACAGGGTGGTTCGTGTGGCACCCAGGCCCAGTTGTGAGGCCTTGCTGCTGCTGCCTCGGACCAGCCTCCGTGCCTGTTTTCCTGAGCCCGAATGAGCTCACACCCAGGCCCTGGGACTCAGGCAGGGCTCAGAACGACTGGGTGGCGAGGGTGGCCCCCCAGGCTCCAGCCCCTGGTCTGTCTCACAGGAACACGTACCTCCCTGTCTGTGCACATCGCCCATCCCTTGTGGGGACCTGTCTGGGCTCCCCTCAGACTCCCAGCTGAGCACAGCCAGTGAGCCCGAGGCCATCTCTGACGGGGTGCCCTCCACTGGGCGGAGGAAGAGGCTTCGCAGGAGGAAGCCCAGGCGGAGGGAGGGCACGGTGGCAGCCAATTCTAGTTCGGAGGAGCTGGAGACAGGCGCTGAGAGTGAGCTGTCCCTGCTGGAAAAGCCAAGGCCAGAGCCCCCAGGGTATGTGTGGACCAGGTGGGGGGCTACGGGTGTGGGGATACCACCCAGGGTTCAAGCACCGTTTCCTCTGCTGATGCTCTGTGACCCTGGACAAGGGCCATGACTTCTCCGGGCTTCACCTCCCCGAGCCCCTGACACCCAGGCCCTCATGCGCTACCTGGGGTGCCCGGTCCTGTCGGTGACCATTTATTTCTCTGCAGCCCCCTCAGCAGCATCCAGTCAGAAGGGGAGTCCTTACCGCAAGCCAGAGACATCTACCCCTACTCTGATGGCGAGTGGGGCCCCCAGGCCGGGTGAGAATCTAGGTGGCCTGCAGGCAGGGACCCAAGGCCAAGGTCTGAGTATTTTGTATTTATATCTTCCTGATGAATAATGACAGAGAACACATTTAATATGTTTACCGGCCGGTTCTACATCTCCCGTGCCAAGTGTTTATTCAGGTCTTTGCCCATTTTTTTTTTTTTTTTTTACTAGCTTGCCTCATTATTGTTGGTTTGTAGGAGTCTTCCGTATATTTATACATTCTGGATCCAAAAGAGGCATGAATATGTATTATAAATACTTTTTTCCTCCGGCTGGGGTGGGCAGTGGTGGGCGACAGGCTGGCTTGAGGGCCTCTAAGTTCTTGCTTCCCGCAGCCTCCCGCCGGGGGGGCTCACGTCCCCTAAGAGTGACTCAGAGCTGGAGCTGCGGACCCCCGAGCCCAGCCCCCCACGAGCTGAATCCCACATACAGTGGGCCTGGGGGAGGCTGCCGAAGGTGAGTGCCTCCATGTCAGCCTCCCATCCCTGCCTTTCAGGGGCTCGGTGGTCCCCTGCGGGTCAGAAGTGCAGTGACTGAGACTTGGATCCCCAAGGCCTTGTGGGGTGTGGGAGGCAGGCCCTGCGCTGGTTCACATCCCCTCCCCCACCCCATTTGTTTGACCGAAGGTGGCCAAAGCAGAGTGGCCTGAGTCCTCGAAGGTCGCTGATGGCAGGGCTGGGTCAGCCTGTCTTCTTCGGGGAGAGCCCAGCACCCCCTCCGCTTCTGTGGCTGGTGCGGACCCTTTGGGACCCCTAATCCTGCAAGCAGGGGCTGGTACCGACCTTCCTCCTACCGACACGGAGCCTCCCGCTTTGGTGGGCTCCCCTCTCCCCACTCCTGAGAGAAAGGAGACCACGCCTCAGAGCCGCAGGGATGCAGGCCTGCCTCTTCCCTCGAAATCCTGGAGCTGGGCCACCCTGGAGGTCCCAGTGGCCACCAGGCAGCCAGAGGGGGGCTCTGGGAGGAAAGGTGAGTGATGGTTGGCCCTCTCCCAGGGTTTTCCCTGGCCTCACATAACCCCCTGGGTGGACTCTGGTACTTCAAGCGTGTTTTGAGCACCTGCTGTAGGCCTGGCACTGTGCTTGGCTCCAGCCCTCATGGGCTCGCGGTGAGGGAGCTAGAGGAAGCATGCGTAAGCAGAGAAGAGCATGTCATGGGTGACACAGGAGAGAATCATCGGTGGGCATGGAGGCTATTTAAATCATGTGGTCGGGGAAGGCCTCTCCGAGTGGGGGATGCGTGAGCTGAGACGCGAACGATAAAGACCCAGCCGAGTGAGGATCAAGGGAAGAGAATTCTGGGCAGAGGGAAGAGCATGTGTCAAGGCCATGAAGTGGGAGAGAGGTTGCATGTCTAGGAAGGGAGGCAGCTGGTGTGTCTTGAGCAAGGCAGGGTTGTGGGGAGGAAGCCAGCAAGATGAGCAGATGCTGGATCATTCCTGGTGCAGGAGCTGGGGTTTATCCTAAGAGTGTGGGAAGCTACTAGGACTCACTGTCCAAATCAGTAGTTGCTGGCTATATATGGCTATGTAAAATGTAGTTAAAATTATTTGAAATTAAATAACATATACAATTCTGTGTCTCCATCATGCCACATTTTCAGTGCGTGGATAGTGACGTCTGGCTAGCGGTATTGGGTGGGCAGGCAGGCAGGGGACATTTCTACCATCCCCAAAAGTTCTACCAGATAGCGCTGCTTTAGGGTGTTCAAAGACAAGGGGACACCTTCTGCTCATGCTACTAAGCACATGTTAGGACTAGAGGTGTCCCCTCTGCCCTCAGGCTCCCTGAAGAGAAGCCAGCATCTGGGCCCTAGTGACATCTATCTGGACGACTTGCCCTCTCTGGATTCTGAGAATGCAGCCCTTTACTTCCCCCAGAGGTGCCTGGGTGCTGGGTGCCAGGGTGTCTTGGGATGGGGGTTCTTGGGGCCAGGGGTTGGCTACCAAGGGCCTGAGAGAGTAGGCCCTCCTCCCCCCAGCCTCTTTGTAGTCACATCACTGTTGGCCCCTCTGCCTCCAGTGACTGTGGACTGGGGCCCAGAAGGTGGAGTGAACCCAACAGCCAGAAGCCCCTGGGAGACCCCAACCCCGAACAGGAACCAGAACCCACTCTGGACATGGTGGATATGATAGAGCTGTCCCTCTGTGGCGGACTCGCTGAGAGCCGGGACATCTCCCTGGGTATGTCTGACCAAGGCCTGAGCCCTTCCAAGGATTGGCACTGAGCCCAGGGACCTGGGGAGGGCAGGGAGGCCCCCAGAGTTGGGGGGCGGGCAGCAGAGGTGTGAGGCTAGACTGGGCGCCCTTGCTGTTCTCTGCTCTGTGGAGCCCCATGCAGCCAGCGAGGGCAGGGCATTCCCAAGGCCCTGCGAAGCAAATACTTAATGCTAAGCTGTGACTTACCCTGTGAATCCAGGATGGCGAGTGCCAAAAGTAGAACTTTTGGGGATGGTGGGCACAGCAGGTGCAAATACCACAGGTAGGGAGGAGCCCTGTGGGGTCCCAGACCCAACCTGCAGGAGGCCTGAGTGGTGGAGTGTGTGTGGGGGGGGGTGGGGGGGGGGGACTCCAGGAGGGGCTGGGGCAGCAGGTCACATCGGACATATCAGCCTCACTCCTTACTCTCTGCCTCTGTGCCCAGAGAAGTTCAACCAGCACATCGTCTCCTACCAGGACCTAGTCCAAAACCCTGGCCTCCTTGAGCACCCAAACCTGGTGGTGAAGATCAGTGACAAGTGAGTACCAAGCCTGAGCCGCTGGCAGCCCCAGAGTGGCCCTGCCGTCCACCGCCCCATGGCTGCTGCAGTCCCGACTCCCCGTTCTGTCTCTCCAGGCATTATAACTGGGCTGTGGCTGCCCCCATGATCCTCTCCCTGCAAGCCTTCCAGAGAAACTTGCCCAAGGTAATGGTTAGAGCACCACCGGGCCTGCAGAGGAAAGTGGGCCCAGCCGTGGGGCCCTTGGCCAAGAAGCGGAGAGTGGGCAGAGGTGGGCCTGGGGCTGACCAGCTGCGAGACCCACTGTGAGAGGAGCAACTGAGGGCCGCTGGAGCCTCGCTCCGTGCTGCACCGACAAAGGCCCACCCCGCCCTGGCTTCCTGGCCTGGCTGAATCCCATCAGGGTTGGACTTGACTTCGAAGGAGTTCAGGGCACACCGGGGGAGGATAATAACCTTCCACAGGAGGCTTTTAGATCTGAGAGACGAGGCTTGGGAGACAGAGGCCCCGCTCCTTATCTTACCCCGAGCAGCACTCCGGGCTGAGCTGTAGCATTACTTGCTTTATTGGCCTGCATTTGTTGAGTACCTACTGTGTGCCAGGCACAGGCTGTCCTGTCCCCACAGTCACGCCCTCCTAGAAAGACAGTTAATCATAAGACTCAGCCAGATGAATATAAAATTCAACCGTGAGTATTGGGAAGGAGAGGCTGGGTGCTTGGAGAGGCTAAAACGGGGGTTTGCTGAGCACGTGCCCCCTGGGCAGAGATCTGAAGAATGAATAATCCATAAGCAGATGAGGGGCAGGGAACAGCATGTGCTGACGCTCAGAGGTGGGAAGGAACCCAGTCTTTTCAGTCCTTCCCAGAACTTCTACCCTCACTGACCTGCACCTGCCCCCCCACCGCCACTGGCTCCCCTGCCCCGATCTGGCCCATTGTTCTTGGATTGATTAGACTTGCCCAAGAACATCACCATCCAGATTTTGACAGCTGACGCCTCCCTTTGGTGACACTCGGCTCTATCCTCTGGCTGGCTCTGGGTCTGAGCTAGGACCAGAGCCTGTGGGAAGGAGGAGGGTTACTCTCCTGCTTGGCTCTCCTCACTTCCCCCCAGACAGATCCACCACCTGAGGCCCCTGGGAGATTCCCCCAGCCTGTTTCCAGTACCCCTGGCTGACCCACTTCCAGGTCATGTCCTCCTGACTGGGGTTCACCATTCTGTCTGTAGGACGCTGATATGTCTCCTGGGTGGGCCTTGGCCTAGGCTCTCCTGGGCTCCCCCTGGGAATACCTAGCACGAATCTAATCAGCATCTTCCCAAGGTCATGTTGCCCCCACCAGACAGCAGTGGTAACACACAGAGAGGGAAGCCATGCATGGGATAGAGTCATTGACCTTTGGGGTTGCCTGTGTTGGTCTTGGATGTTGAAGGGAGTACTGGCTATAGACTGTTCTTCCTGCTGTCACTTGGTGGCATCATGCAGAGAGTACTAGATCCTGAGAAAGTCCCAAAGCACTGCCTTCAGCTACTTTAGTAGGATCTGGAGGCCAGGCCGAGGCTGGGCGAGAGCTAGGGGGTCAAGGCTGGGGTAGGGTGGGGATTGGCAGGAATAGCCCTTGATCTCCTGTGCTTAGCTCCATGAGTCATTGCTTGGAGTCCCAGCATGGAGGTGAGTATGCTTCCTCAGCCTCCAGACGTTAATAGCACCTTGCTCTAGGGTCAACCCCAGACTCTGGGTTCATGGGGGTGATGAAAGGTAGGTTTTTGTGGTGCAGGGAAAAATGCCATGGCCTTTATCTGCCCACAGAGCACCGTGGACAAACTGGAAAAGGAGAAGATGCCCAGGAAGGGTGGACGGTGGTGGTTTTCCTGGCGACGCCGGGACTTCCCCGCCGGGGAGGTGAGTGGTCACGGTCAAAGGGCGTGGTCAGCACAGGCAGGAGGCGGGGCTCACTGAATGTATGTTCTTCCCACAGAGCAGTGCCCAGACTGAGAAAACCACAGCCCGGGAGCAGCAGGGGTGAGCTGGACCTCATGGCTGGAGCTCTGCAGCTGGAGCCGAGCCTCGGGGAGATCCCTGTGGGGGCAGGGGTGACGCCAGCACCTCTCCCCCAGCTATGGTTCTTTGTCACTACCCAATCACTTCTACATCCTTTCTTTTTTCTTGAGAAATGTCCCCATTTCACAGATGGGAAAACTGAGGCCTAGAGCTACACCAAAAGTCCGAGAGCTGGGAACTGGCAGAGCTGGACCAGGTGCCCAGACTCCTGACCCAGACAAGGGACTACTGTCTTAAGGAGGGGCAGGGCCTCCCCTCTTTGCCAGGGGCAGGCTGACCTTGCCTTTTTCATCTCTCAAGTGACCAGAACACTCAGGCTTGGGTGGGGGATGACCAAGGGCAGGTCAGCTGAAGCCAAAGCAGGTGGGATTGGTAATAAGCCCTAAGATGCACCCCTAGGTTTTACAGATAAACATCTCCAAGGCTACCTTGGCTAGGCACTGAGGGTCAGGAGCCCTGGGTCTCCCTGCTCCAGCTCTGCTGGCCCCTTTCTGGGTACATACTGCTGGGCTGCATCCTTATGTCTGCACCCCTCTCCAAATGGGTGGCACCATGGTGGGCTTTCTGATCCTCTGGAAGAACAGGGACAAGCCCCAGGTTCCTTGTGGCCTGGGCTGAGGGGTGAACATCTACTGGGAATGTAGGGCCTTGGCTGGGGAGAGTGGCCTGAGAGCCCGGCTGCCTGCAGGGAGAAGACTGATGTCCTGAGTAGTGAGGATGATGCCCCAGAGAGCCCTGTGATCCTGGATGCCCCCTCTCTGCCACCCTCGACTCCCGCCTACAAGAAGTCCCTCCGCCTCTCCTCCAATCAGATAGTGAGTGTTCAGGGAGGGGGCTGGGGCTGAGACAATTTGGCTCCGTGGAGCCTTGAGTTTACCAGAGTCCGGAATCCATCCCCTCGGCAGCCTCCCTAACAGCCTCTGCTTGAAAACCTCCAGGGTCAGGGCCTTGCTTCTTTATGCACCAGCCCATTTCTTTGTTGGATGCTCTTATGGGAAAAGTCTTCCCTATGTTGTCTTAAAGTATTCTACCTGCAGTGGGTTGCCGGCTCTGGATCGGCTCTTGGAGGCCACTCTGAAGGAATCAAAAGCTGATGACAGCCCCTCAGATATTGGCCGTCCCTGCCCCCAAGCCCTGTCTTTGAGCTTAGTCACTGGCCCCCAAGTGGGGCTCTGTCAGGGCGGTGCCCAGGGCAGGCAGCTACCATCTGAATGGTAGCCCAGTGTGATACCCACTTTGGGGTCAGCCAGGGCCCAATAGCCTTGGTCACTGGCTGTGGTGGAGAGCTGCCCTGATTCTTCTCTATGGACCAAGGACAGGGCTAGGTGTCTCTTTGGATGGATGTCACGAGTACCCTAGCCCCAGGCAGGAGGCTACCTGTGAGGATCTCTGTGGAGTGGGGCGTCTCCATGCCAGGAGCAGTGCCAGCCTTAGGGCTGACCTGAGAAATCCGGGTGGCCAGGCTTTGCCTGTGAGCTTCATCCCAACCGGGGCAGAAAGGGAGGTTAGGGCTCCTGTGTCTGGGCCCGTGTGGGCCCGGACCAGCACTCTGCACTCCCTCACTCCCCGAGGTCGCCCTCTACCTGTACGGATGTGTCTGCGTGTGGCTGTCTCAGATGAATTCAGGCAGGTCCTCTGAGTTGGGAGGCGGAGGGGAATGAGAGACCCATGGAGATCACAGCTTCCCCCACTTTGCCCGGCCCCAGCGGCGCCTGAACCTGCAAGAAGGTGCCAATGACGTGGTCTTCAGTGTGACCACCCAGTACCAGGGCACCTGCCGCTGCAGGGCCACCATCTATCTGTGGAAGTGGGACGACAAGGTGGTCATCTCGGACATCGATGGGACCATTACCAAGTGAGGCCTGGTTGGCCGGGGGAGAGAGGGAGGGCCTGGGACTGGCCTCCTCTGTGCTGGGGGAAGGGGGGTGTCAAGAAAGGCCCTCCTCCTCCCCCCCCAGTGCACTGTCCTGGGGCGTGAGGGCTACATGGGGCTGCCTCAGAGTGACCCCTCTTCTGTGGCTGTAGGTCGGATGCTCTGGGCCATATTCTGCCCCAGCTGGGGAAAGACTGGACACACCAGGGCATCACCAGTCTCTACCACAAAATCCACCTGTGAGTGCCTGGGCTGGGGCAGGGCCCCAGGGAGGGAATGACGGGATGTCTGAGGCCCCCACAGCCCTTGCCCCAGGAAGCCAGGCTTGGGGACCCATGAGGGAAGAAACCCCGGGCATGTCCCTGGATGGTCCTCTGTTCTCCCATGAAACACTTGTCTCCTGTCATCTGGCCTCTGAGTCTAACCGCTGGTCTTCATGCTGCAGGAGAGGCCTACAGACTTGCTCAAACCTTTGTCCGTGCTGGTCCGCCTGGGCCTCAGGACACTGTCCGTGCCCCTCCTCCCTGGGACAGCTACTGCGGGCACCTCTCCCTGATGTTCTCCCTAAGTCCCCTCCCTGCAAAGGCCTCTGGGTTTGAAGGCCAGAGCCCCGGGGTTGGGCTGAGCTGGCTGAAGCCAAGGAATGGCTGGTCTCTGATGGCTCTGGGCCACTCCTATCCCCCACCTCCAGAAACGGGTACAAGTTCCTGTACTGCTCGGCACGGGCCATTGGCATGGCTGACCTCACCAAGGCCTACCTACAGTGGGTGAGCGAGCGGGGCTGCGGCCTCCCCAAGGGCCCCATCCTGCTGTCTCCCAGCAGCCTCTTCTCCGCCCTCCACAGGTAACCACCCCTACGAGATACAAGCCCAGGGGTCCTTGCAGGGAGTGACAGGCTCGCTGCAGGCTCAGGCCAGGCCAGCATCCGGCCCTGCTTGGGTGTCAGTTGAGTCCCACCCCGTGTCACCTGGCCCTGCCGTCCTCTGATGGCTGCCCCTCCTCGGTTCCTTCTCCTGCCCATGGCCCCGGCTGCCCCAGGGAGGTGATTGAGAAGAAACCAGAGGTGTTCAAAATTGCCTGCCTGAGTGACATCCGGCAACTGTTCCTGCCCAACGAACAGCCCTTCTATGCTGCCTTTGGGAACAGGCCCAACGTGAGTGTGTCCCCTCCCCACGGGCCGGGCCACCTCCTCCCTGTCTCCCAGCCCATCAGCCCCTCCTTGTCTCCCATAGGATGTCACTGCCTACCAGCAGGTGGGCCTCCCTGAATCTCGAATCTTCACAGTCAACCCCCGGGGAGAGCTCATCCAGGAGCTCATGAAGAACCACAAATCCACGTGAGGCCAAACCCTGTCATGGGTCCCCCACCCCTCCCAAGTCCCCATGCCCCAGCCTCTCCCGGGGCCTCAGTTCCACCCAGGTCTCCCGGGCGGGATGCAGTCTCCTCTGCCTGATGTGGTGGGGGCTGGGGCCTGGTGGCCGCTCAGGCTCTCGGTGCTGACCCTGTCCTGCCCGCAGGTACGAGCGGCTGGGCGAGGTGGTTGAGCTCCTCTTCCCACCTGTGGCCCGTGGCCCCAGCGCAGACCTGGACAGTCCTGAATACAGCAACTTCTGCTACTGGCGGGAGCCCCTGGTTACTGTGGACCTCGATGACCTGGCCTGAACCGGCCCCAGCTGCCCCCTCCTCCCTGGCCAGGCCCCAGAACTGACTGGGTGTTCCCAGGGAATGAGAAGTTGCAAGCTGGCTGCCACGGGGCCGGTCCACTGAAGGGGAGGAGGGGGCTGAGGGCTGATTGGCAGCCACAAAGACCCTCCCTCCTCCCTGTCCCCTCTCCTGCCTTCTCCAGCTGATCCGAAGGAGGTGGGGCAGCCGCTCCAGGCCTCAGCAGGGCTCTGCCCTGTAGCAGTGAAATGATGATCACCTGGGCCCTTGCAGGATTCTCCGTGCCCTTGACATCCCTGTCCCTGTCCCCCTGGTACACTGCCTCAACTCCTGACAGCACAGAGAGGAGAGGGAGCCCTGTGAGGCTTGAGACCTGTCCGCACAGGAGAGGGTTGGCAGCAGCAGGGGGGAGTGCTTGAGCAGCATCTGGGCAGCATGGACCAAACCCTCTGAAGCCAGACCCTTCCATAACCCTGGCCCCTTCCCACAGCTCTTGCGCCAGACCTCACTGCTCTCCCTTGTGCCCCAGGATTTCAGCACACCCCAACCCTGGGTGCTCAGACATCAAGGAACAGGGATCCCAGGGCAGTGCAAGGGCAGAGGGAGTGTGGCTCCCCCTGGGCCTCGCCCATACCCAGCTGCTTCTCCTGTTCCTCTGAGCACCTCCCCTGAGGACACAGCCCCAAACCCTGCCAGCGCGGGTGGCGGTGACCTGCCCACCCTCCCTAGACTTTGCCGTCAATTCGGCGCCCTCACAGCTGCTGAGCAAGCTCTTGCCTGAGGGGCTGTAGGAAGCTGGGCTGGCAGCCCACTGCAGCCTTCCAGCCTACCGCCCTTGGGGAAGAAAATACCTTTAGACGGGCTAAAAGCTTTAATCCAGGCCTGCCCTCCCCCAGCAGCACCACAGTGGAGGGAAGAAACCAGAAGGCAGGGCTATAGCGACCTGGAACATAGCACAGGAAGGCCTGTGCTGCTGAGGGGAAACTGAGGCCAGGAGCCTCAGCAGAGATGGGCATCAGGGTCTCTGGGAACTCTGCAGGCCAGATGAACACTGTGTTTTCGGGTTGTTGGACCTGAGTGTCTCACCACTTAGCAAACACCCAGCCGGGGCCGGGGTTGTGCTAGGATGCTGGAAACTAGGCCTGGAGCCCTTTTTCTCCCCTGGCTTCCTGTTCAGAGTGTGGCCTCACTTAAGCCATGACGTCTACTCTCTGGAGAGATTCCCTAACCTGGGGGGGTGGGTGGGCAGGATTTCCCCCCAGATGGAACGGAGAGGAGGGTGTGGGGACCAGAGGCCCTGAAGCATCTTTGGGAAAGAGAAGGGAAAGGATAAATTGAGGTGGGTCTCTAAACAGAAGGTCTGGACCCTGTCCTTTTCTCGGGGAATCTACAGCTGCCTAAGTAAGCCCTCACCTGAGGGGAGGGTCGAAAGAAATAAAAAAACTCTCAGCTGAGTCTTTGTGTTTCTGCTCTGTCCGAAAGGACAGGGGGAGCTGGAAACCTCTGGTCCTTGGTTCAGAAACTATCCACAAAGCTGCCAGGTGGGAGGACAGTGCCGGTGGCCACCACCTTCCCGCAGAAACTGGGCCCTGACGGCTAGGGAGGGAAGTCAAGGAGACAAGAGAACCAGAAGCCTCCACAGGCTGGGGGCTGTTGCCCCAGGACAAGGGGAGATGTGGACAGGTGACTGGACCTGTGCGTCTTCATCCAGATGCTGCTCCCTGGTGTGTCTGCAGAAGAGCAATGTGCACGCTGGATTGTGAGGTCACTCAGGTCCGCCCTGGCCTTTAGGCATGATGTCCTTGCCTTGACCATGATCCTGAATTGTCCAGTTGATACGGCACTGAGTGTTGATTTTCGTGGTTGGGACAGTCCCATGGAGCTGGACCAAGGTTATTCCTTCCATGGCCTCTGAAGTGGCATCCCCGTTGGCCCGGGGAGGCTGGGAGGCGCTGCTGGGTGAGGCTGGGCTCTGGAGTGGCATCCCCAGTGTTGGCAGGATCTGGGGTTTGGTCCCGTCTGGCCCGCCTAGTCGGCTGGCTGGGGCCGCGCCTGCTCGGCCAGCTGGGCCCGGCAGTCCAGGAGGTCATCCCGGAGGCGGGCGATGTCCTGTGCGTGTTGAGCCAGCGTGCGATTCAGCTGGTCCACGTAGCCCCACAGGCCCTCTGTGGGCCTGAGCGACTCAGTGGGCAAGTGGTCCAGGCCAGCAGCCAGTCGGCCCAGCCTCCCACACGCACCCTCCACTTGAGCCACCCTCCGGTCGAAGTGGCCCACCACTTGCTGCAGTTCCTCGGCTGTGTCCTGGCAGCGGCTCAGCCCGCCGGCCACATCGGCCACACCGGCCTTGAGTCGCTCCAGCTCCCCCCTCAGGCCCAGGACCTGCCTGTGGCCAGCCTGAAGCCGAGACCCCTGGCTGCTGACCTGTTCCTGGATGGCGTGAACCTCAGCCTCCACCTTGCGTTCGCGCTCGCCCAGGGATGAGTTGGCAGCCAAGAAGGCATCAGAGTACTGGCTGACGGAGTCGCTGAGGCCCGTGAGTGACTTGCTCATGGAGTTCAGGTTGACCTTGAGCAGGGTGATCTCGCCTTGAAGTGAGCTGCCCGTTGCTTCTGTCAGCTGCTCCTGAACCCCGGCCACAGTGCCATTGAGCTGCTGGAGCAGGGCGGCGTGGCTGGCCACCTGGCGGAGGAGAGCCTCACTCCGGCTCTGCCAGGCCTTCACCTCTGCCGCCAGGTTGTCCAGGACGGCTGAGGTGGTGCTGGGGGTGCATGAGGTCTCCAGGGAGACCAGCCGTTGTTCCAAGACCGCCAGCTCCGTCTGCACCAGGGGCCGGGCCGACCTGCCTGGGGGGGCGCCGTCGTGGCTTAGCTCCCCCGCCAGTGTCACCAGGCGCTCCTCTAGGCTCTGCACTCGCTCTTCCAGCGTGGTCCTGAAGCTGCCGGCCTCCCACCCACCCTCCTCCATCCCCAGGCAGCAGCCCCTCGCTCCGCCCTCTGTCCCGTTGAGGGTCTCCAGGCCCTCCAGCAGCCCGTCCACACCCCCGTCCAGCATGGCAGCAGACAGCCGCTCGAGCTCATCCCTGGTGAGGGGGCCATGGCCCCGCTGGGCCTCGGTGACTGCCTGTAGGTTCCTCTCGAGGTTGTCCACGCGGGCGCTGATCAAGGGCAGCCGGCTGCAGCAGCTGCTCCCGCCAGCCATGCTCAGGCCCTGCAGCCTGGTCCCAAGCAGGGACAGCTCCCTGCGCAGGGCCAGCTCCCGGCCATCCAGGCTCTGGTGCAGCCGCTGGCTGGCCGCCTGGCCCTCCTCACACTGCTGCCGCACCTCCTGCACCCGCAGGTCGCAGGTGCTCTGGACGCCTTGCAGCTTCTGCTCGAAGCCATCCAGCAGGCTCCCCCAAAGCTGGTGCAGCCGTCGGTCCACGTACTCGTCCAGCAGCGCCAGCGAGGTGAGCGGAGACGGACGCACCTCCCGCAGCCGCTGCAGGTGAGCCTCGTGGCCAAGGGCCAACCCGTGCACCTCGTCCAGCAGCTGCACCTTGGTCCGCAGCGTGTTGCTCACCTCCGTCACCTTGCTCAAGATCTCGTCAAGGGGAGGGGTGAGTGGCCCTCTAGCTCTGTCTCTGGGCTTCACGAACCCCTCGGAGATGACCCCGAAGCCCACAGGGGCAGCAGGAGCCCTTGGACTGCCAGTCATCCTGTTGGGGTCCTCATGGCTGGCCACCAGGCCGCTGAGGGTACCATATGCTTGTGCCAGGCGCTGGACATCACCCTCAAGGCGTTCCAGCCGCTCACCGAACAGCCCTGGGCCTTTCCTTCCTGGGAAAGAGGAGGAGAGAACCCTAGGGGCATCACTGGCCTGCCTCCCTCCACCTGTCCTGTTGCTAGGCTACCCGGGAGAGTTTCTGTTCTAAGCTGACGTTCCCACTGAGCATATAGCTCTCTCAGCTTCGGGAGGAGTCTGTGAGCTTTGCCTCAAGCCCAGCGTGAGATGCACCCTCCCCAGCCCTGCCAGAGCTCAGCCCGCCTGCGTCAGGCCCCTCTCCACCGCCCCCAAGAAACCTGATCACCTGGTAGGGTCTCCATGGGCAGACTCACCATAGGGGTTGGGGGCCGCTCTGCTAGAAGAAGGGGGCCGGGGCCCTGGGCCTAGCTGCCCTGAGGGAATCTGGGGCTCAGGCTCTGGCTGGGCTGGGGTGGCCCCGAGGTCGGTCAGGTGCTCGGGACAGCCTTCTCCAGTGAGGCCAGGGCAGCACCGCCAGGCGAGGTCCGTCACTGTCTTGTAGCCGACCTTGTATCTGGGTCTGAGCACTGTGCGGTACCTGGGCCAGAGAGGGGGGAGAGGGCAGGGCCCTGTACTTGCGGACTGAGGCTCCTGTCTCCCAGTGGAAGATCTGGATTCTCTGCCCCCCTCCACTCCCCGGCAGAGTTTTTCCTTTTTCTGTGCATAAGGTGACAGGGTGGTGGGGTGGAGGCAGGCCTTGCAGAGGGTCAGAGAAGGGTTAAGGAGCAGGTGCAGGGGAAGCCCTACACCATCCGGTTTGCTTGGGGAGAACACTAGCGGGGATTTAGCCCCAGTGTCCCCAAGGCCAGTTTGGACCACCTTTAGCTCATGCTGCCATCAGAAATTCCACTCTGGCTTTGGCGGTACCTGGAAGAATCCTGACACAACCTCAGCCCTTCCCTTTGGGTGTGTGAGGGGGTGCTGCCCAGGAACCAGGGTGGGTAGCCCTTCTCAGTGCGCTGGGGCCACTCTTGGCTCCCATCGGTCCCCTTAGTTCTCTCTACTCCTTCCTAGCCTACTCTGGGAACTCAGCTCTGGCCACCCAGGCCAGTGGGCGGCACCTCTGATCTGAGCACAGAAAGGAAGGCCCAGCGGTGCGGGGCAGGCCTGGCCAGGCCCACTCCCTCCCCTGCTCAGCCATGTATCTGTTCACCCACGGACACACTAGAACAAATGAGATTGTTTTCAGACATGCGTTTGAACCTCTCCAAGTACAGACCTGTGCATCACACTTGTGCACCATCCCATACACCCTCTACAGCCCCGTCTGTCTGACCTAAGCCCCGGCATTGGCCTGCCTTCTCCACAGTCACCGCAGCCCTCCCTGGGTCTTCCCAGGGCCCCTTTGGCGTCTACTGTTGTCAGTGTGACCCTCTGCCCTCTCTGTTCACTTTCAACCCTCTTTGCCTCTGCTGCTTCTTCCTTGCCTCGTTCTGTGTGTCTTCTGGGAACCCTCCCTCAGCCCCTCCGTGGGCCCTAAACTGAACCTGCCACGTCTCCTCCCTGGCCTTCTCCAGCCAGCCTGCCTGCGAGCTGGGGTAACAGCCTCTTTGGAGTCCAAGGAGTTCCACCCCCTTGTGGTGCTGGCTGTTGCCCTGGGAGAGAAGCAGGCCTGGGGCTTGTGCCCAGCAGTCCTGAGTGGGTGGGATAGGGGTGCACTCACGTGACTGTCCCAGGGCACTTAGGCCCCCATCCACACTGTCGGTACTCGGCCTTCACG